CAAAGACAAATTTACCTAATAGAAACCTAAATGCACATTGATTCTTATAAGTAAAGGGCAAATATTGTCTTGAGAAAGTGATCATTCCTACCTGGGATTAATTTAATTTTGCCCCATTTCACCCTCTATTTCCAACATGTAAGGGGTCAATCCTAAATTTCATTGGCATTCAATTGGTCCTTCCTAAATCTCTTTGGCATTTCAACAAGCCTTTCCCAAATCTATTGTAGAAGTGCTATCAAACTGGAGGTTTAGTCCATTCTCATAGAAGATTTTTTGGGGCAAGCATTGCAAGGTCACAACAATGGAGGTTCTAATTTGGAACATCATACATCGCTGGACTTAATTAGAAAGGAACTCCAATGTCTCCACGTCCTAGATTTGTTGCAAGGAACTCCAATGTCTCACGGAACAAGCCTCCACTTGGGGTTCTCAAGCTTAATTTCGCTGCAAGCTCCTTGGGCGACTTAGGCCCCTCAGGTGGCAGAGGAGAGATTAAAGACCACTTGGGATAAACTTTGGTTGCCTACACAAGGCCAACGGGGACTAGAGATGCTAATAGGGCTGAGGCCCAATAACTTCTCATAGGATTGCACATGTTCTTCTGGTCTTTCTCAGATCCGCTACTGGCTGAAGGAGATTTTCCTTAAATGTGATTTGATACGCGCGAAGAGAAAGCAACCCAACACAGCAATTAGCAAACACTTTGGACAAGATATACAAGATGGGCCAAGATCAGCAAGTGAGTTCTCAGCATGTCCTGAGATTGGCTATTAAACTTGCTGATTCATTAGCAAGGTTAATAGCCAATCTATCTGCTTGCATCTATCTCAGTTTATGTGTTTCATTTGGAGTAAAGTGATGCAGCAACTTCACCTCTTTTAAAAACAAAAAAAAAAACAAAAAACAATTACACTTATATTAGGAAGATGTGAGTCTTCAAAGGAAAGGCTAGGCAAGACCCCACCAGCTTTTGCTGAACAGCTGACTTCTGCATTAGTTCCTCCCCAAACATGGTGAAAAGATCTATTGCCTTGTTGGAAGGTGGATAATCTGCTCTAAGCAATGAGCAAGACTCCACAGGATCCTGCTTTCTCATAAAACCTATCCAAGAACAAGGGAATAGCGCACCACTCTAAGTTGCCCTAAAAGAACTAAAGGAAAAGCCTCAAGACATGAAATGTTGATGCAGGGAGAAAAAAATATTTATAATAAAAAAAAAAAACAATGGGTAAGAGATTATAACCTCTCTCAAGGTCTGCAAGGGAATCCGCCCCAAAAACGATCTTTCACAAGACTAAATTTACTCAATTCTCATTCGCTGTTCTTTTATAATGAAGATTCTTCCCATTTAAATACAATTCAAAAGAAGATAAAAAGAACCCCATAAAAAAAATGAAACTCTCTCTCTCTAAAAAGCTACGTACTTCCCTTCCTCCCTATCTTCTATCTCTTCATCTCCCTATTTTCTCTCTCTTCATCTCCCTATTCCTTTATCACATGAATCTCTAGGGATTCACCATAAAAATCTCTTCCTAGATTGTAAGCCCATAAAGGTAGGACATCTTTAGATAAGCCTAAGGTACCCCAAGTGTATATCCTGAAAAATCCAACCATGCCTAACTTATCTCTTTAAAACCAACTAAGAGATAGCTTATCTTAAAATCCAACCCACTAACTAAAACCCTCACGCCACACCCACCCAATTCCTAAAGAGATAACCCATTTAAAAAATAATAAATTAAATTAAATTATTTTTTTGAATTTTCATCTGTGTCAAATGTGCAAATGATTATACAATATTAGCAGAGTCTCTAACATTTCCTGCGATCCTAAAAGGACCACGACTACCCAAAAAGTGGTCATCGAAGTTGAGTGGAATGAATTAGTGATCACATGCCTTCCACAGATCACTAGTCTTCCACAGTTAGAGGGGTCCACTCCACAGCCACCACATGATGCATAGAGTGGTTGTTCTAAGCATTGCGCAACTTACCCAAACATATCTGGGGAAGGAGTTCCAAGGTTTCCAGTAAAGTAAGATTAGATCAATAAGTTGCCAACAGATTCCTCTACTTCCCAATTGCACGAGCCAAAGGCTAGGGAAGCGGAACCCTTGTTGCTCAAAGAAAACGCTCGTGAGAATCTTGTCACATACTACCAACCAACTAAAGCGAATAGCTCCAAGTGTGGACAAGGCTTGCTTTTCTAGGCTCACAAAAGCAAGCACAGAAGTGGTCATGGTTTCTCTCATCTATAATACAAGTTTATACGGATTGAAAAAGAGATATAATGATGAAATCTGAAGATGACAATCATATATTCCTATCTGAGCTATGGAATGGAATAAATAATAACAATATCTTCCAAAGGAGCTCAGAAAAGGAATCTGCTTCCTCTCCCAGAGAATTCCTAAACCTAGGTCCAAACAACCCCAACCATCTTCCATCCATTAGTCATAGCAATCTCAAACCAATGGAACTATGTCATTAACAATAAAAAGCAATACCAGGGAACAAGGATCAGAAGACTGTAGGCTACAGAATAAAAGATATCACCTTCGAAACTGTAAATCTCATTCCTTTGCAAAAAGCCATTTTGATGGCCTAGAACTCTAACCACCGGACAATCCAGGCAACCTACCTGAAGTCATAATTGTGCACGTCTCCCCAATCTTCTTGCACTTATATAGCTCCTAACCCAAAAGCCGTCAAATATAGCAACTGGCCCAGACAGAGCTTTTCTGAGAGAATATTCGACTGTAATACTTAAAAGTATGATAGATACATAAAAATGATTGGCTGTCCACAAGCCTCCACATAAAAGTGGATTCCTAAACACCCAACAAAATACTATAGAACTATTTTCAAGAAAATATCCATCGAGGGCCCTGTACATGAATGATGTACTACAAACCAAAATCAAAACATATCCATCGAGGGCCCTGTACATGAATGATGTACTACAAACCAAAATCAAAACATATCCATCGAGGGCCCTGTACATGAATGATGTACTACAAACCAAAATCAAAACATATCCATCGAGGGCCCTGTACATGAATGATGTACTACAAACCAAAATCAAAACATATCCATCGAGGCTCTTGTAACCACGGTAGACAACAAGGTGTCAATCTCAAGATGAAGCTGGGATGCGAGGAGTGAAAAGGTTTATTTACCCAAGACAGAGCTTCATTCATCATTTAGATTTCCTTGTCCCCAAGCTACACTTGTTTCTGGTCTACGCACACCCACCTTGACTACAGGAAACTTACCAATTACATGATCTGTATTGCAACAAAAATGGCCTTTCAAAGCTTCAGGACTGTTGTAGCCAGGACTAGAGATATGAAAAACATGAGTTGCTTTCCACAATGAACTCACCAATGTAACCCATCCTTCAAAAGGACAAGAAGTAGCTCTTCCAAATGCAAGCCCATTAGGCATTTTTCCATAACCAAGTCCCATATTTCTTTTTTTGACCAGTTAGAAAACAGAGGAAGACTTAAATTGGATGGCAGAGAATCCACCCCGAACCTCCAAATTTGAGGGGATACTATTTAGCATATGGAAACACTCGAATCCCTACCCCAGAGCTCTTGGTGAGATTTATTTGCTGGAAAGAGGCATAGCCCCTAACACTTAAAATCCTTTAGGAATCCCTCATACCATTACTGTATCGATGTAAGCCCCAATCCTTAACTTTTTCTCCAAATATCTCAATCCACATGATCCCAGGCTTCTACCATATCCATCTTTACTACGATGCAATAACCATCTTGCTGCATAGAATGACTACACTCAAGAGGCACTGACACATCAAGATCTCATTGTCTCTAAACAAAAGAACCTCATAGCTGGGATAGCATAGGCCCACAAGTATGGGTGGTGAAAAATTTCTCACATTTAATCTCCCTGAGATTGCTTACCATTTATTTCCTTTTGCTCCCCTTATGGTAGTTTGCTACTATATGATTTTTTTTGGGTAATTCAGTGGGGAAGATAGGCCACTACCCCTTTTTTTAAATAGTTTAGGAGTTCTTTTTTTTAGAATAGTTTAGCAGTTAGTTTTTTGAAGGTGTTAGTGGGGTGGTCTCCGTGGGAATGGAAACCACAACATGGTAACTAGGGTATAAGGGTGCAACCACCACGGCCCCAGCCAGCTACTATATGATTAGTTCAAGCTCTCATGCATAACCAGACAAATTTCCCTATATGCTTATGAAGCATAATGACGAACTCTATGACATATATCATCTCTTCGCTCATATTCAGATGAGTGATAAACAGATTGCAACAATGATCAACATTCAATGACTAGTTATTACATGTTGTCCACATATAACTGGTTCCCTGGTGTGTGAAGTAGTCCACTTGTGCCTGCCTAGTACATAAGTTGAATATTGTTTTGTGGAATCCACTAAGATGGAAATCACCTCATTGGCATTCCTTGATTGCAATTTTGGTACAATGACTATCTTGTGAGCATCCCAATGGCATTTACCGTTCATGTATGTGTAGCTGTGCATCTATCTGAAACCCAAAATCCCTTTCATTTGGAGAGCGGGGATTTGTATTCTATCCATCTGTGACCAATGCTTAATGGGAAGACCTATGCTGTATAAGCAATACAAAATGTTCTGTCAATCAAATATTGTTCACTGGGATCAAAATAAACAGTATATACCTACCTTCCTATATGACATGCAGAATTTTCTGATGCATAAGAGAGACAATATCATAAATTGTAATCACAAGGTTTTGGAAGAGATCAAGAGACATAATGAGGAAATTTCAATTGCAAGGCACTATAAGTGCGATAGTAATATCTGTAATAAGGCCTAACAATAACATAATGAGAAATGAAGAATGAAAGTTCAAAAAGAAACCTAAATAATAAGAGCGCAGTTGTTAATATAGAGCACCATTACAACAATGACTAGCTTGAGACAATAAAGCCATAAATACTGAAGAGAAAAGCAAAGAAGAATCACATGCCTCCATGAATGATGTCCGACAACGTTCATGGGCACGTTCTAAGAATGTGTGCACGTACTCCACAAGTTCATTGGCATATTTGGGCATGGCTTGTGCCCAACCGAGAACCTAATATCAAAAGAAAAATTAATTAGGCAGTGTAACTCAGTACTCACCATTTCATATCCCAACCTCCAAGGTTCAATGCACACAAATGAGTAGAGATAAGAAGTTTAGAGACAACACTTCTTTTTTCTTTTTCTTTTCTGTGTGTATGGAGAGAGAGAGAGAGAGAGAGAGAGAGAGAAGAGAGAGAAGAGAGAGAGAGAGACGTAGACACAACGACTACCTCCTTACGTAACGTAAACGTACGATACGACCGAGAACGGTACCGTAGACGACACGACGCCGTACCCTTCTCTATACGAACGTA